ATATCTCCCCATATCTCCCCACATCTCCCCACATCTCCCTGGTAGCCTCGTCAACGTCCTCGCTCTCACAACAGCACACAGACGCTGTGCCTCCGCCCCACCACCTCCGCCCTTCTCTCCTGTCACGAGCTCCCAATCCCGCAGATTTGCTACCTCACTGACCACAGGAACGAACCCACGCTCAATTCGATACTCTGGAGGTATGGTACTAGGCGCAGTACGACGACTTCTTCGCCCAGTACCACCTGCTGCTCCGCTCGGAAAACTACGTCACCAAGCGGCAGTCCCTCAAGCTGCTCTCCCTAGATGCCCAGTCAGTCAGTCAGTGTTACACACGTCCTAGCATGGACGACGGGGCACACGCACTCGCGGAACACAGGGCATTACACACGAGGCGTTGTGTGCGTTCTCAGGGAAAGGCATCACCACAGACAAAAGTTTAGTCAGAGGGGCAGCAGTGGGGACCCCCACTCACGACCCTAGATGCCCCGTAGGGATAGACAATTAGGAATTACACACATCAGCAATCGCCATTAGGGCTACACACATACCCCCCCTCACGTCGGTGCATCCGCTGCGTCGGCTGCTCTCCGACCGCGCCCTCCCCATATCTCCCCATATCTCCCCATATCTCCCCATATCTCCCCATATCTCCCATATCTCACGTAGGCTGCTCTCCGACCTGCTGCTCGACCGCTCCAACTTCGCGACGATGACGAGGTATGCCACTCTACTCTCGCCCACTCTCGCCCACTCTCGCCCACTCTCGCCCACTCTCTCGCCCACTCTCGCCCACTCTCTCGCCCACTCTCTCGCCCACTCTTGGCCACTCTCGGCTACCTCGCAGCCTCCACGACGCCGGGTCCGCCGACGGTAGGTACATCACCTCCACCGACCACCTCAAGACCATCATGAACCTGCTCCGCGACGGCTCGGCCACCATACAGATGGAGGCGCCACGGCGCCCTCGCTGCACCTCGGCTGCACCTCGGCTGCACCTCGGCTGCACCTCGACTGCACCTCGGCTGCATCTCGGCTACACCTCGGCTGCACCTCGGCCAGGCGTTCCACGTCTTCAAGATCTACGTTGCCAACCCGAACAAGGGCGCCGCGGTGCACGACCTCCTCCTGCGCAACAAGGAGCGGCTGCAGGCCTTCCTTGCCGCGTTCCAAAACGACCGCGCCGACGAGCAGTTCGCGGAGGAGAAGCGTTTCGTCATGGACGAGATTGCGCGGCTAGAGCCGCGCTGAGGGGTGAGCGTGGGCGAGGCTGGTGGGTGGGGCTGGCTCGGCGAGGAAAGAGGCAAGAGGAAAGTTGGTTGGTGATGCTAGAGAAGAAAATGTGATTATATGCGTGTATATCGACGGCTACAGTACTCCGATGCCCCGGGCCGACCCGTCCTAGCGCACCTTCCACCTACGGCTTTAGGCCTCTCCTAAAGCCGTACCCGCGACGGTGGGGCACGTGGCTTCCAGTTATTCCACGTCTCGCTCACGCGGCTCACTTGGTCTTGGAGCACTTGGAGTGCGGTCAGTAACCTCACGCCCAGGACCGGGGAGCTGAGAAGCGCACCCAGTTGGCCGGACGCTCGGCATCGGGCTACGGGCTAGAGTGTAGAGAGAGCCCTGACCCCTAGGGGGGGTGCGCGGTCGCAGGGCCATAACACGGGTCTCCGAGGGATAGTACCGCGCTCCGGGTTTCCCCTAGCAGCAGAACGCACCCTCTACTCGGAGCTAGTAATATGAGAATACTCTCCGAGGGTTGGTTCTGCGCTTTGGGTTGCCCCTAGCTGCGGAACGCCCCCTCTACTCGGAGCTAGTGGACACGGACACGACACCTAGTGATACGAGAATACGTACCGCCCCCACGCAACTACTCGACGATAATACGAGAATACGCAGCTGCGAGACGCCTGGAGCGGGCTCAAGTTCATATAGAGATCGCGTAGAGGCCTAGGTAAGATCATGAAATGCTCACTCAATGAATGATTGTAGTGATTACTCATTGCGCGCGTGCAGGCCGGGGAGGGCGAAGCGGGTCGGGTCCGCCTCGCGCCTGGGGAGATACGGTGCGATGAGTAAGAGGATGAAAGGAG